AAAGTACAAATAGAAGTAAAGATAAGAATTATTTGCTTGTGTACTTTGTCAAAGTTAGATTTATAAGAAAAGATTCAAAAAAAATCAATAAAAAAAAGAGTCTAGTAATATTATTAGGTCAACTATTATATATATTATGTTTTCTTTTAAAGTCCTGTCACTTGGAATTTGGCGATACCTTTTGAAACGAAATGGGTCAATAAAAAGGTAAAGGTGGTAGGAATGCCAAAAATGTATGTTGTTCAAAATAAGTGGGGAACGTTTATGAGAATTGTCAATATTTAGGGCTTGGGAAGTAACTAGGCCTTAGACACAAATATACGCATTGCGGTGAGACATCATTGGTGAGTATAAATCGGGTTATTCTGTGTGATGTTAAGGAATTCAAAACATAATAATCAACAAGGGAATTCTTTACCATGCGAAGTGAAGAATCATACACAGAATTTAGTTGCTTGATAAATTTGTAAGTAACAACAAGATAATCGTCAATGCTTCTAAATCAGTCATCCTTCTAAGTTCTAGTGTTTCCTTAAAGTTTTTTTTTCACATGCACATACTTCACTATATTTTACTATTCCATTCTCATATTCTCTTTCTATATGCACACACATCACTTTGAAAGTTAGATTATTCAGTGTTTGCACTTTTATACTTTCTGTTTAACTCATGCCTTAGAATCTAGGTAAAGCAACTAAGTTAGATAGAGAATATAACTTACTTGATCATGGAACATCCTTAGCCAAGTGGAGCATCTTATGAGAAGTGGACCATCCCCTTCAAGAAGTCCATATGTGCTTGTCTTGGTTTATGGAGCATTTTTCTATATTGTGAAGAAGGACCAGATCAAAAGCTTAAAAGAACCATCTTCGACCAGTTGGAAGCATATTGGAGCAACTTCATGCTCATAGACCAACATGGAACAACTTCTGGTACATGGACCAATTTTAGAGCAACTTCATCAACTTGGACCAACTAGAAGTACTTTGGAGCAACTGGATGATCTTGATCACTTGGACCATCATCAATCAACTTGGAGCAACTACATGCTCTTGGAACATCTTGGACCATCTCCTCTTCCTTGGACCAACTGGACGAATGAATGAAGCATATTCATTCATCTTGATCATCTTGAGGCATGTTAGACCATCTTCATCAACTTGATCATCTTGAGGCATCTTGGACCATCTTCGTCATCTCGATCAACTGGAAGTATCTTGGAGAAATTTCACCAACTTGAAGGATCTTGATCACTTGGAGCAGCTTAGAGCATCTTCAGTCACTTGGAGCATGTTCAAGCATATTGGAGCATGTTTAAGAACATTAGAACATGTTCAACAACATTGGAGCATGATCAAGAACATTGGCACATGATCAACAACTTGAAGCGTCTCCATCCACTTGATGCATCACGCCCATGTGGCTCATTAAGTCCACATAGAGCATAATAAATGTGCAATGCACGTTTTGAATAGGCCATGCACATCTCAAATAGGCCATGCACATGTCAAGTATTTCATGCACGTTTCAAGTAGGTATTTCCGTAGGTGTCATGCACGTCTCAAAGATAACATCCATGCATGCACCACCTTTTCTTTCTTGATTCTCAAGGCATCATTCTCGTGCTCGCGATTCAAGTTGACATTCTCCTATTTATACCTGAGTACCATCCAAGCCTTATGGGCCCACAAGTTGGCCCATACAAGCCCTATTTTGGCCCATTGAGAAACCCTAGAAAACTTCACCTATAAATACCTCACTTCTACTTCTCATTCTTGTTTTTTCACTCTCTCACAAATTCTTACTCTGATACTCGCTTGGAGCAACAAGGCTTCATGAGCAATAAGGCTTCGTGAGCAACAGTCGCGTAAGCAACATGCAACTTCAGTTTGTGAGCAACAAGCAGCCTTGGCACAACAACAAATTTGGCTCAACAAGTCATCTTTTTGTAAAACCCTAATGTGGCTCAACAACCAAATTTCGAATTTCACCTCTTGAGCCACAAGCCTTTTTTGTTGCAAACCCTAATTTGGCTCAACTACTATATTTCGAAATCCCCTCTTGAGCCACAAGCCCTTTTTGTTGCAAATCCTAATTTGGCTCAACTACTGTATTTCGAAATTCCCTCTTGAGCCACAAGCCTTTTTTGTTGCAAACCCTAATTTGGCTCAACTACTATATTTTGAAGTTACTCTTGAGCCATAAGCCTTTTTTGTTGCAAACCCTAATTTGGCTCAACAACCATATTTCGAAATCCCTCTTGAGCCATAAGATTTTTTTTGCAAACCCTACTTTGGCTCAACAACCCAATTTTCGAATTCCTTCTTGAGCCATAACATTTTTTTTGAAACCCTAATTTGGCTCAACAACTTCGGTGTAACTCCTTAGCGCAATAACCTTCGGCCTCGCAGCCCCTTGGTGCAAAAGCAAAAACACAAGCCTCGGTCAACTTTCCTCTTGTTTCATTCCTTTTTTCCTTCCCTTCTTGCGCCAACTCATCTCACCATACCTTCTTGCGCAACTCCTCTAGACCCTCTTGACCCTCTCAACCCCTCCTTCGCATAATCACTTCTTGCGCCACCTTCTTCTTTTCTTCTTCTCTTGCGCCTCAAGGAATTCTTGCCTCCCACTCCTACGCGCCACACCCTTTAAACCCTAGTTGTGCCATACTTTTTTCTTTCTTGAGCCAAACTTCTCTTCGTGTGTCATAACCCTCTCTTGCTCAACCTGTTTTTCTTCGTGATCATCAAGTAAAACCGAGACTAGCCTCTTGCGCCACTTTTTTTTTTTTCTTGAGCCACACTTCTCTTCTTGTTCCACAATTCTCTTCGTGATCAAGCAAACCAAGAATACCCTCTTGCGCCACTTTCTTTTTCTTCTTGAGCCACACTCTTGACCTCGGTTCCTTGTGCATCACTCAAACCTCAAAACCCTAGTCGTGTCCTATATATTTCTTGCGCCTTCAACATCTTCTCGTGAGCACTTCTTTCGTGAGCAACTGCTTCCCTTGGCGCAACTATCAATCCTTCTTGAGCCAACCTTTCTTGCCTCATAAACTATCCTTTGACAACCTTAACTTGTGAACATGTCCAACTTGCGCCAACCCTAATAAACATCAACAACTTGAGCCATCTACAAAACCCTAATACCTAATCATCCTCTTCCATGAGCAACATCCTTGTGTCGAGTCACACTTTTGAGCCATACCCTCTTCGTGATCATCACTTGCTCATCAACCATCTTGTGCAACATCATCTTCGTAATCACCCTCTTGAACATCAACAACCCTCTTGATCATCAATAAGATCTTTGTGATCACCAAGTGATTTCGTGATCACCTCTTGAGCCATCATCCTTCCCTTGTGATCATCAAGCAAGAATCAAGTTTCGAAATTCTACTTGCTCCACACTCAAGTTTCAAAACCCTAGTGAGCATCAAAGTCTTGGAGCAACATCAATTGATCTCATCATCACTTCTTGAGCCACTCCCGAACCCTAGGTGAGCATCATCTTTTTTTTAAAAAAAAACCTAATTCACATTTTTTTGAACCCTAGATCGTTTTTTTTTTGTTTTGTACAAACCCTAGTTTTCCTTTCCTTTGGAGCTTCATCAACTACTTGTTGGAGAATCATCATTCAACGTCTCTTGTTTGGATCATCTCCAAAATCTAGGTAAGCATGGCAATTCTTTTGTGAAAACCTAGTTGTCACAAGTCAATCTCATGAGCATTATGATATGTTGCATGTCTATTTTTTTGTACATCATAGTCAACTTAACATTGATTATTGAACTATCATGTATTTAATGATTATCATCACGTGGTCCATCATCATTTTGTGTTGAGCATCACATTCCTTGATCACTCTAGGTAACTTTTCATTCTACTCCTTTGCACTCTATGATGATCATGGTGTACACTTTCTAAAGTTTTATTTTTCTCTTGACAGAACATATATTTGAATATCTCTTGTGTCATTTGAGTTGTCTTGTCTCTCTGTTGCTCATTCATTCAACAAGACATCAACTGGTAAGCATCATCTCTCTTGCTAGTTCACATACCCTCATATCATAAGGTTACCAATCATTAGTTGATGATTCATGTCTATACATATGCTCATATGGTCACGTTCCCCTAGTATTGGCCTATCACTTCTTTTAAGTGAATACCTCTTCTTGTTGCAATCATATTGGGTGAACATTTTTTTTATTTTTTTTATTTCATTTTTTTATTATTATTTTTCTTTTATTTTTGTTATTTCTTATTGATCATTAATTCATCTTCACATACCATTCTTAGGTTATTTAGTATCGATACTTTGATCAAATCTTTCCTGTGAGCATTATACTTATTGGTGCATATCTTGCTTTTCATACTGACAAGTCTATTACCTTCACCTATCTTCTTTAAAGTAATGTCTATTCTCTTACTCTTATGTGATCTTCAATTTCATGCCTTTTATATGTTCTTTTAAGATCAACATATTCTTTTCTTTCGTTTTCAACTCTATCTAAATCCATTCACTACTCTATGTGTTCTTGGATTTATATAAATAGTTGTCAACTGCTGTCTCTATGATACCTAATTTTCTTTTAGTTTCTAAAGACATCTTTAATTTATATGCCATAGTCATCATAGGCCATGACTTAGCATTTTTACTTGATCCTTGCACTTTTGCTATGATTTAGTAACATCAATTTTTTCTGTTGTTGTTTTATATGACATCAAGTTCTTTCTTTTTTATTCCAACTTGTCATGTAATTTCCTTTCTGGCCTACACCTAGTGAAAATGAATTTGCATATTCCTCTTGTCCATAGTCGAATGAACAATACTACTAAAGTCACAACCTTGTTTAGTGAATGCAAATTCACACATTTTTTTCTTCCACCCCCCCCCCCCCCTTTGGAATTTAGTTAGGATTATATGCTACTACTCTCCAGCTATATATCTTTAACTAACAATTCATTCCATTTTTTGTTCTTCTTCTATTCTCTCAAGACATGGCTTCCAAAGAAGATGGACAGACCTCTAAAGCAAAGTCTCTTCATAAGGCTTCACAATCTCATGCAACCGGACCTTCAACTGAGACAAACTCATCATCACCTAAAATTGACATGGTTGCATCCAACTATGCTGCACTTCTTAACACTCAAGAACAACCCAAAGAAGTCGGTGTTATAGTTGAATATTTGCAAAAGTTCCCATTGGCATATGCACTCATTTCTACTTCTCCAACTCCACAATCTCTTATCACAGAAGTCTTTCAATCAACAGTCATCTCCACAAGAGCAAGGTCAAAACAACTTGATGTTGAATTTGATCTTTTTCAAGCTACCTTGGTTTTAACTAAAGTTCGCATTTAGTTTAGGTCTAAGCGATATTTCTCATCAACCTCAGACATTTGTCACACCATCTTCTGCTCAATTGTTGACAATGTTCAAGGAAATGGGGTACAAATTTGAAGACAAAACAGAACCATGCCTTTCAAGAATTCGGAAATCTTGTCTTCCCACCTCATGGCATTTTCTCAGTTCCGTCCTCACTGGATGTCTTTTCGGATCAGTTAGTGGACGCAGTCGCGGTAAAACATACCTTTGGATTCTCATGTATGGGCTCTTCTATGATATCAATGTTGACTATGCGTCTATTCTTTGAGAAGATTTCCTCAATTTTCTCCCTGATTCAAAGAATAAGTTTTTGATTCATCATCCTCGTTGGTGGTCTATCATTATTAATGATGCCATCCACAATAGTAATCTTGCACCAGGATGGATTCCAGAAGGCCCACAGCCACATTTCTTGTGTATGAAACCATATCGGATTCGTACGACATCTGAATCTGATTCTTCCCATCCACTCATCCTTCCAGATGATATACTTACAAAGCTGGATGAAAACAGTGCCTCTCTATGCTCATATCAAAAATACATCCAGGGAATTATTTTGCCTCCCAAAAATAAGAGGAAGCATTCCGATCATGCATCCAAGAAGTTGGCAAAGAAGAAAAAGATATCAAAATCAAATCAACCGCCTCCTATCCCATCTCTAGTCATCTCTAATGATAATCTTGGAGCAGATTTAGATGAGCCCACATCTCCTCCTAAATCTGGTACATCCTCTAAGCCACACTCTTTCTTAGATTCCTTGTTTCAGGCTCCATCTGATTATGATGAACCATCCTCCCCAGCTCCAGTTTCAGCAACATGCTTTCAGTCAGTTCTAGAAATCCCAAGCAATCGTGTTTCCTTGGATTATGACTCACTTGAGGACGATGATCAAAATGGTGAAAAGCAGATTGAACCTGAAGATCTTCCTAAAAGCTCTCCAGTAGAAGATAATCAAGATGAAGATACTTCAATGCAAACGGTAGACATACCTACCAGTGAAGGACTGGTAGTTGATGATGAACCACATGACATGTCCATTGTTCTTTACTCCAACGCACCTACCAGGACTTTCAGCATTGATCTTGATGACTACTCTCCTCCAACTCCAAAAGAGTCTCAAGAAAAGGATGATACTCCTAAAGAAACAGATGAAGCAAATACCACCGAACCAGAGCCTGAGCGCATCAGACTTACTGCCCAAATGGTATCTAATGGTATTGAGTAGATTCGCTTCCACACATCTTCTCACTCTGAATATCTGGACAACTTTCAAGAGTATCTTGAACGTATGGAAGACAATGTGTATATTCTTAATGAGGAAACATAAGCACAGGTTAAAAACCTTCGGGTCACTATTGAAGATTTTGAAGGCACAACTGCTTATTTCAAGGGACAAGTTGCTCACAACATGCGGAGGATAGAAACTCTAGATCAGAAAATTCACAAAACTATTGAAGATTGTCTATCTCTAATGTATCGGAGAATAGATGACTTTATCCAGTCCTTATCCAGTCTAGAGTCTATCTATGAAGCTAAGTTAGATCATATGCAAAAATCATGTTACTGATCAAGACATACACATCTCCACTCTTGAGAAGTCCATTGCAGAACTATCCAAATCTTACGCATCATCCTCCACCTCTCCTTTTCAAGCATTTAGTGAGCAAGTTGAACGTCAATTGGATTCTTTAAGATCTGACATTGCAAATCTCTCAAATCTAATTCCGAGAAAGACAATAGATCATCAAGTGACATATCTTCCCTTCATAATATTGTTCAGTTGCTAGTTGATGAAGTCAAGTATATCAAGACACAATCTTCCTCTTCTCCTCTATGTGCTCTTCAATTAAAGGTTGCATCGACTGATTCCAAACTTGAATTGATCTTAGCAAAGCTATATGGTTCAAATGACAGGCCACCTGAACCAGAGGCGGAAATACTCAACAAGATCAGATCAAGTCAGTCTCCTGTCATACATCACATTCCAGACTCACCAAATGAGTTTGAGAAAAGGAGACCAGAGAAAACAGAGTAACTCGACAAAATGGCTGCTGATGAACGATTAAAAGCTCAACAGAATAGAGATAAGATGGCTGAGAAAGAAAAAGAACTCATTCGAAAACAATGGATCAAAGATCCATCTTTAAAAGTTCCAAGAAGGAAAGATGTTTACTTCTCCAAACCTATCACCATATCAGAACCAAGCACTCAACCAAAGCTTCCTCAAACTGGTCCCAAGGATAAGGGAAAACAAAAGATTGTCTTCAAGTCTAAGAAGAAATTAGCTAAAGAAGCTCAAATGGAGATAAATGAAGAATTATCTAAGCAACTGAAGGCTAAGGAATTAAACTCTAAACAAGCGATGCTTCTCAAAAGGAAATCTTCATAGATATCGCATGAAGAAAGGAGTACATGGAATGATGAACAATTTAGAGTGTCATCACCAAAAAGAACCATCTTCTTGAACCCTGATAGAGATTCTTATCAAAAGGTCAAGGTCATCAAGCCCACAAATTCCTTCACACCTCCTTCATACCTCACTAAAGAAAATTGGGATATCCCTGCACCTCCGAATGGTATGAAGTTCAATTTATGGCCAAGTGCAATTTATCCAGTTGAGGTTGATATAGATATTGAAGAGGTGAAGAAAAGATTATTCCTGAAGAAATCAATTAAAGTTGTATCTGTGTGGTCAAGGTTCAAGATTGCTTCGATTAGCAAAATTGACATACGGAAATTTAGAAAGATGCCATATGCATTATTTCAAGGAAGAAGGACAGACAACTCTGAATTCATGTTTTCTGAAGCTGATTTCCCTAAAATAAACCAAGCTGATATCAGATCACTGATCATTTGGTTGAAACAAAGGGTGAGTACAGATAAAGCTCATGGAGATGTTCTACAATGCCCAAAGCAATATGTGCTCGACATGGTTATTGATTTCAGTGTTGACTGGGAGATTGGACAGCTAGGAGAAAAAGAAGTTGAGGAACCAAATTTGGATCTAAATATGGAAATTGAGTCACCTGGGAATATTCTAAAGAAACCACACTGAGGTGTTGTATTCTCCTCTAAAGGTCGACTGAAATTCATGAGAATCTCTCAAAAACATCTATTCTCTTCTGAATTCATTAAGGGCATCATTGGTCTATTGAAGAGAACAGGAGATCAAGATGAGTCGCTGAGAGTGAAGATCATTGAAGAACTTACATGGTTTTTAAGTTTTCGGCAATGGTTAATAAACTTGAGAAACAAAGGTTAGATTATGGATTTTTGTTTTGTTTTTTCCAAACATGTGAATGATGTTTTTGAAGGGTTTTGAGCACTATAACAATCCTATGGTGCACATACAACCCGAAATGCTTTGGATCTAAGTTTTCTCAAGTTATACATGTAATTTCATTTTATCCAAAGCTTAAACTCTAGCTAGCATGCAATTTGAGATATACAATGTAAAACTAGTTAGATGAATACCTCTTATTGTAGCTTGTGAACCTTTCCTTTCAAGAACTTAGCACCTCAAATGTGATGCCTCAAATGAGTCACACACACCAAATGCAAAAAGAGGATTATGAGAGAGGTTAGGAATCACCAAAAATCGACTAGGGTTTTTTTCTAGGAAAAGTTGGCCGATTTTATGTGCTAAGGGGTTACTTTTATAGTGTGGAATTCCTTGGGTTTCATACATGTAAACCCTAATTCACCATGACTCTTCATATTTGATGGCCCTTTGGACTAAACCCTAATGGACTCTCATATAGGTTTAGTCCATGCCTAATCAACATGGATCATTAGCCCAAACTATAAGTATCACTGATTTACCAAATCAGTCCCTGTAAATTTAATCAGTCTCTTTTGATCACTAAATTAATTCCAAATTAATTCTTGATCAATACCAATTAAATAATATGATTTATCAATTAATATATTATTCATATAATATATTAATAAATCACAAATAACCTCTTTCTCAAATATCCATCCTATCAAATTGCTCCGGTGAAGGCAACCCAAAAGGACCATGCTACTATCGGGTCAAGTACATACCAGTTATAGTTATGGGCTTAGACACCTAATCCAGCAGTCTCCCATTTGGATAAGTCTAATAACTATAACTTCCAATGCAACTTCAAAATCCGATTAGCAATCGTAGCTCTCAAAAGCCGCTATCGAACTCTGATCTACTCAATTACGCGTCCTTTAGATAAGTGATCATACAATCCTCTATTCTTCAAGATATCGTGTGGACAAAGACATGGAATAAAGTCATACTCATTGTCTAACAGTTTGTTTCCCGCTTTCTGATTTTTTGACACAGAACTTAATTGAACACATCAATTTAGTCCTGACCGGATCCGACACATAAGTCAAAACAAAATCATCGAGGGGCCCAAGATATCGCTTTTAATCCTCTTAGGATAAAAGGAACAGATAAACTTCGACTTATATGCTTGTACCAATTACTTGTTAAATTATACACAACAATATGTTTTATAACATCAAGTTACTGATGCGTTTTCGTACTATCAATTCACAACCAACTCGTAATCAACAACTCATATATCTTTGTTTGAAGACTATACGATATTATCGTCTCACAATCACTCGTGATGAATTCCATGAAGTGATTCATGTGAGCGTGGGTTTAATCCAATACTCAAATCTTATTTCAGGAGTACTCATGAACGTTGTAGCAAACTTTTGCTATGTCTAAACACCTTAGACAATCTACAAGCCAATTCATGACAGTCTAACTTCATAACGTACTTCCAAAGTATGATTGACTGTGGATAGTTCGAATAATCATATTATTCTGGAAGTCAAAAAACGCTAAACGTGAAACATAAAATAAAATTTTGACAAAAGACAGTAAACCTTACTTGTAAATAAAACCCTTATTATTTAATCATTAAATGTCAATTGCATTAATTTATTACAAGTTTCTAAATGCCTATCTAATCACTAAAACTAATATCGTCCCTTAGGCCAATGCTCTTAGCATGTTGCAAATGCTAAACCCAACTCAGTCCCTTCGTAAGGGGATCTGCTGGGTTATCCTCTGACGATACCATCTGCACTAGGAGGAGTCCCTCTTCTACCCGATGTCTTATAAAGTGATATTTTCTGTCGATGTGCCTGGATCTGTCATGATCCCTCGGTTCCTTGGTTAAGGCGACCTCACCCTCGTTGTCACTGAAAAATCTCCATAGGCTCCTTTACAATTGGTACAACTCCAAGGTCTCCGATGAAGTTCTTTAGCCATATTGCCTCCTTCGACGCTTCGCTTGCTGCTATGTACTCTGATTCGCACGTTGAATCAGCTACAGTCTCCTGTTTGGAACTTTTCCATGTTACTACTCCTCCATTTAGGGTAAATACCCAGCCCGACTGAAAGCGGAAATTATCTTTGTCGGTCTGAAAGCTGGCGTCACTATACCCTTTCACTCTCAAGTCATCACTCCCACCGAGGGTAAGGACCCCATCCTTAGTCCTCCGTAGGTACTTAAGAATGCTCTTTACTGCTATCCAGTGAGTTCTACCAGGATTACCTTGATATTGACTAACCATGCTCAAAGCAAAAGCCACATCAAGGTGAGTACATGTCATAACATACATGATCGAGCCAACGGCGGAAGCATATGGTACTCGACTCATTTATGCTATTTCGGCATCAGTACTCGAACTCTGAGTCTTACTCAGTTTGGTATTGCTCTGGATAGTCAATTCTCCTTTCTTGGAATTCTCAATGTTGAAACGTTTCAACACCTTGTCCAAGTAGTTAATTTGACTAAGTCCTATTAGTCTTTTACTCCTATTTCTCAATATCCTTATCCCTAGATGTGACAACCCGGAAAAAATTTTAAATTTAAAGCCCAGTCAATCAACTCAAATGAGTGTCAAACTCATTAATATTGAGTCTAGCCCTGTTAAAGGTCTTTCTAAGGAGTTTAGGCCTAGTACACTAAAGGAATAAGTATTGGAATTTATCTGCTAAAGGCCACAATACAAGAATCAAGCCCTAAACTCCATCAAATGGAGTTTACGACCGTAAACATGGAGTTTACGGCCGTAAACTCATCTAGGCCGTAAACTTCTCCATATAAGTTCATTTCCTTCACTTTTCTTCATTCTTTCACTTTCCCTTCAAGAACACATGAGTTTTCTCTCAAGTATCATCCCGATCTTCATGCTTGATCTTCAAAAATCGTAAGTGTTCTTTCTCTAGTTTGTTGATAATCCTTCTTAACTAGCTTCATCCTCATGATTCATCCATAAAAATCATGTTTTCTTAGATCTTCAAGTTTCACCAAGAACACACACTAGTGTTCTTGGCCAATATCAACCATTTCAAGCTTCTAGATCGTAAGTACACTTCCCTATACTTCATATCTAGTTAGTATCCATGCTTAGAGGCTTGAAAACATCAAGAACACAAGATCAAAGGGAGTTTACGGTCGTAAACTCCCAAGACCGTAAACCCCTTTTTGGTGGCCATTAGGGCCATAAACCCTATAGGATGCAAGGCAAGTGACCCAGAACCCTTTCTTGAAGTGTATAGGACTTTAAACATCGAAAACATCAAGGACCATTAGAGTTTACGGCCGTAAACTCATCGAGAAATGGTCCATGGGCCGTAAACTCTACAAAGGGGTGAAATGTTGCCACAATCACTTCCTAAGGCTTAGACTTGAAGTTAGGATGCTTCCTTATGACCTATAAGACTTCAAAACACAAAATGGTAGAAGTACCATGAGTTTACGGTCGTAAACTCATGGGTTTACGACCGTAAACTCGAAGCGAGTTGGTCCCTAAACCGTAAACACATGTTAGTGCCATTTCACTTTCCTTTGTTGAATCACATGTGATTCCAACACTTGATCAAGGTGTTTCCTAGTCCCGAAAGGTGTTTCCTTTCATATAGTTGTTTATAAACACTATATTCATGTCAATATGTGTCCTTATATGTCATTTAGGACTTATTGTGTCTCGGGACTTCATTCGTGGAACTTCTCATCCTTACACGCATACCCGTTTGAATCACCCACAGCAGGTGAGTTCATACCCCGTAATGAATCTTTTAACTGTTTTAACTGTTTTTAGGGGGGGGGGGGGAATACAAGTTGAACACAATGATAATTGTGTAAATGTTTGTTATAAACATCTTTCAAAATGTTACTTATGTCAATTATCAGTCGTCAAAACATTTCAAAAACTCTTTTAAAGTTATGTTACTTTCTAGTTATACAAAACTTTGTTTTTAAAGTACAAACATAACTTAGTAGATAAACGAGTCTTTCCAGTAACAGTTGAAGTAGAACATTAGTAAGCTATAATAGGTATAGTTTAGGAGAATGCTATTCATTACTTCTAGTACAATGAAGCACACAAAGAGTCAATACCATACAGAACAGATAGTGAAGAGAATCAAACAATACCATACAGAACAGATAGTGAAGAGAATCAAACAATACCATACAGAGAGAACACACAATTACTAGAAACAAACAGAACGTACAAGATACAGTACAAAACAAACAAGTTAGGTTGCTATAGCATGAGAACACACATAAAGGATCTAATTATACCAATGAATCACTAACTCATTGTTTTAAACAAAAGGTGATAGTTATATTGGGTATACATGATCATATACTTTAATGTGAATTACATGGCTTGCAAGAATTTGCAGAGGTCGTGTTTAGTCCCCCTAATCTCCTGACAGGGAGAGCATATAGTAAGGGTTCTAGCCTTCACATTATAACCGTAATAAAAAAAATATGTTTTTAGGTTATTAGTACATCCGCATGTCATTATAAACGACAACTGTGTACTTACACTTCCCTTTCTTTCATAAAGTAACGGTACCACTTGAAAGTCCAACCCAAACTATTTTCGAGTCAAGATAGTTATGAACTAGGGAAAACATACATTCTTACAAACGACAAACGGAATAGTCGGGTCTAGCACATAACAGAAGATGCCTTGGTAGAAGGATACGAGTAAAAGATAGGACCATAATGCTAGTCTTATGATTCCTTAATGTATATATATATA